TGAGGATCGTCACATGTGCAGGCAGCATTTTGCAAAGACAATCTGTGTGCGTCACAATAAAGATGCTCCAGAAAGTGCTAGCACTACTTCATAACAAACTCTTACTTACCAATCTCATACAGGCAGACGTGCTGGATTTCTCTCTGATCTACTGCAAGTTCCAGAGCAGTGTGGAAAGAAGTCAAGGCACTGTTGATTTGACACTTGGGGAACAAAATGAAATCGTTACTAAGTTATTGTAAACATATTAGGCAGTATGGAGGAAAGTGACTTAAGGACTAAAACCAGACCAACTTGCCTCACGGTTGTGACATTAACAAACACACAGAACTCCTCCTTCTGTTTTTTGCAATGGTGTCTCATTATGTTGTCCAGACTAATCTCAAACTGCTGGCTCAAGCAAGCTACCTGCCTTGGCTCCTGAGTAGGTGGGACTATAGATGTGCACCACCATGCCTGTCTAGAGAACTCCTTTTACTTGGCAGTAGATTCTGTCAGTGAGGGCTCAGTTCCCCTCACAGCACTTTCACTATGCTCCTACAGGAGAATTTGTTGTCTTATATCTGTTTGCTAATCTAGCTCTTTGTTGCCAGATACATTCAAAAAGCTCAGGGACCATATTCCATCCTCTGGTGTGTATCCAGCCCTGGCTCGGAGCCTCTATCTGCACTGGGTGACTGACTGCATGGCGCCACTCCCATTAGACCTGTCCTTAATGACCTCCTCCCACACAGCCCTCGCTCTCTGCTGTACAGTGGACAGTTCAATTCTAAACCTCAGAACACTGGTCTCCAATTGCTTCTGGTCATCAAAGCTCCTCTCCCAATACTTTAGAAATGCCCCTAGGACTTCTATGTCATTTCCAACTTATGCATTCATCCACTGCTGTCCAGAAACCAACAGCCCCCAAAATGTCAGTTGTACTTATTTCTACTTAAACACAGTATTCCCCTCCTTCTGCAGTTCCACTTTCTGTCATTTCACTTGGTCTGAAAAGATGGTAGAGCACAGTAAGATATTGAGAGTGAGAGAGACACAGAAAAAAGGAGGAGGAGGAGGAGAGGGAGGGACCACATTCACATAACTTACATCATAATATTTTATTATAATTATTCTATTTTATTATTAGTTGTCATTCCTGTCTTACTGTGCCAAATTTATAAATGAAACTTCATCCTAAGTATGTATGGGAGGAATTCTACTATACACAAAGGCTGGTACCGTCTGCAGTTTCAGGCATCTGGGGACTTGGTGTGTATCCTCCCCAGATAAAGGGAACTAAAGCACATTTACTTTTTCTTCCCACTAAAGATTTTTTTCAAAGTTGGCTAAGTGGATGCCACAAACACCTGATAAACACTTCTAATGCACCACCAGGATAAAACGGGCTCACCGACGCACAGGTGTTTAATATCAGGGATGTAATAAATAAGGGCCCTGTGTACGGGAAGACTTGACCAGCCTGCTGTCAACGGTGCTGCATCTCCAAGCATCCCTTTCTTGATCTAGCTGAATGCTGGATTAGCTGCTGTCCCTGCCCCGTGCACCCTGGGGAGTGGGGGGGGGGTCTTCTCCCTCCTCCCTCCTCTCCTCTTATGCTTCCCCATGCCTGCTGCTGCTCCACACTCACCCTCTCCAAGTCATAACCCCACCCCCACTCCCACAGCCTCTTCTCTGCACAGCCAGCCAGGCAGGGTGGCAAGGTTGAGGAAACACTGTAGGCTTCTGGGAGAATCACTGTCCCTGCAGGAGGCCTTGGGACACCAAGGCACTGGATGAGTCATCAGGCTGGCCTGTGACTCGGGATATTGTAAGCAAAATGACTCATTAACCAAGGCCATGGCCAGATCAATGAAAATGCCCTAAAGGCAGGAAGGTTCAAACAGGGCCTTCAAACCCTTATCACCGGCCATGGATGCTAGCCAGGTAGTCGCAAGGTGAGGGTGAGAGAAATCAACCAACCTGTTATGAAGTATGTATAGACATCTGGTCACTCATTACACCCATCTCCAACTTTTCCCTTTCTGGATCAACAGTCCTTTTTCTCCTCACATATGCACTCAATACAGTATATTGGTTCATTTGTTAAACTGAAACCTCATTGCTTGGGCTTCTGCATTACATGTACCTCCCTGTTTGCTAAGTTAATGACACTCAGCAGTTACATAGAGGGTATTTCTGGATGGATCACTGCCACTGAGCTGTCCTCATCTGCAAGTTCAGTGCATGACAATGCAATGCCACACTGCCCTTCAAAGGACAGAAAAGTACTCCGGAAGCATTACTGCACAACCACTACTTGCCAAGGGCAGATTTAGCACTGGAGATCCAAAGACAAGTCAAAATAAGGCTTTGACTGCAAGGAAAGAAAAGGAATCCAAGATATAATATTGGAAGCAACATCATTTTTATTAACCCTTTCAAAACTCTGAGATAGGCAGGCAGTAGTTCCACTTCAGATGAAGTAAAGTTCAAAAAGTTAAGAAACCTGATCAAAGTTAACAAGAAATTGACTAGCAGACAAATTCTGTTCTGGCTGCCTGCAAAGTATGTTTTCTTCAGGGAGTAAGTGTACAGATGGGATTAAATTAAAGATCTTGAGGTAAGGAAGATCACCTTGGATTATCTGGACGGGCTGTAAACGTAATCACATGCATCCTCATAAAGAGGTAGACAGAAGGAGAACTGACACGCAGAAGTGGAGGAGAGGCCCTATGACAAGAGGCAGAGACCAGAGGGATGTGGTCACACACTCAGGAATGCCTGCAACCACCAGAGACTGGAAGTGGTGAGAAAGAGTCTCTTCGCAGCCTCAGGAGACAGCGAGATCCTGCCAACTGTCGATTTTGTTTGGCCCAGTGTTTGGGAACATACAATGTAGAAGAACCGGCCACTAAAGCAGAAGGTTCTATAAACTGAAGAAAGAAGTTGGCAAATCCAAGATTGCACAAAGTGAAGTTTATTAAGGACTTCCAGGCAGAGACCTGAAGTGGGCAGTAACATGGCAAAGGATCCTTGCACCCTGAAGCAGGAGGAAGAAGGGGTTTATGTGCTAAGCTAGACAATGGTGACTTGCCCACGATCTGAGGATATACAAGGTTTGTAAAAAACCACTAACAACAGGATCAAAGTACATTATATACATGTATGAAAATGACTTAATGAAGCCCATGGTTTTGTACAATTAACTATTAACCTATCAAGCATCGGTTAAGGAATGTTCAACTCTTAATGATTGTGTTAACCCTAACATGTCAAGGTCACCTGGCAGGCAAGATGGCAGTCACAACCAAATGGTCCTAGTCACTTCAGGCTGAATCCTTACATCCAGTGAAACAGATTTGGGACTTCTGGTTTCCAGATTGTGTGAGAATAAATTTCTGTTGTTTTAAGACACACAGGGTGTGGCAATTTATTACAGAGCCTTAGGAAAAGAATACAGCTTATTTTTTTTAAATTAAAAGTGTGCTCTTTCTGTCATAAGGCCTAACAGATCTTGAAAGTAATAACAGTGTATTATGGAGCTTAATAACTTTATCCCAAGAGCAAGAACAGCTACAAAATTAATTCTAGCTCTATTCTGATCAGTCCTTGAGGAATTACAATGAGTAGCAATTAATTAAAATAGTGGAAACTTATTTTCCCTTATTTTATCACCAAAATAACTTAAAATTAAATAAATCTGTGGGAGTTTTTATTATTATAAATTGAAACATGCACCACATGTTTCACAACAAAGAAAGGAAATTATCCCCAACTGGATACTTGACTTACAGTTTAATTTTTAAAGACAGATACACTCTCTGGCCTGAAGAGACTACAGACAATGAATTAGTATGAAAAGGCCTATAAGATGTGAGCCGGCACCACATTAGCTTCTGTCTTATGGATTCTTTGCTGGTGAACTTACAAAAGCCACCTGAAGCCTGAGTTTCCGCACTGGTAAGCTGCGAAGAAATGTTGACTAGCTTTATCTGCTTCCAGTGCAAGCCAATAAGAACAAAAAACGTAAGTCTTTGCCAAATTAAATGGAACATATTTACTGCCAAATTAAAATCAGCGTGATCTGTAGTCACTGCATTGCGACTACAGGGACAGAGCATGTTTTTCTGGTTATTCAAGCCTTCCTTCTTTCATAGGTCACTTCCTACGTATTTTCTAATACTTGTGGCAATCATAAAAGGAACTTGCTCCATTTCATCTTTTGGGTGTTGCTACTATGTGAGAAAACTGGACTTTAAAAAATATTTTTATTAGGATATATTTGTAGCACAGGAGGGATTCATTGTGACAACTGTGAATAGCCTTACATTGTACAGTGGTTAGACTGCCCCATCGGCTCTCTTCCTTAACCCCCTCCCCGCCCCACTTAAAGCACTTGCAAGAGGTCTTACTGTTCTATTTGGTGTATGTATATGGAGCCCATCAACTGCATTCCCTCACTTTAATCTCCTTCATTAATCTTCCCCCTGCCACAAGTGCTCCCCTCACTATACCAATTTTACAGACTTGTCTTTCGTTATTAAATTCTAAGTCAATGTTTAGAGGGGTTTGTGGATGTATCCTTGCTGTGAGTATACTTTACTTTGGTCAGTTTAACCCCTTCAATTATTCTCCCTTACCCCTTCCCTCCCACCCCCCATTATTCAACAGCTTTCAATATATAGTTATATCCTCTACCTACACAGATGTAATGCATTTCAATATTGTTGACCTTCTATCGTTCTTTTTCTTTCCCCTCTCCCCCGCCTTCGAGTTCCACAGCGTAGTTCCACTATTACTAACATGTTCTACATATAAGTTTGGAAAAACTGAACTTTTATTGTTGACTTTGTATATGCACATTATTATACCCTTGAGAGTAGTGTGTGTGTGTGTGTGTGTGTGTGTGTGTGTTCTATTTGTTCTGGGAATGGAACCGAACCCAGAACCTTCAGCATGACAGACAAGCTCTCTGGCACCGAGCTATACCCCCACAGCTCCATGTTCACATACATTTTAATTTTAATTCTTTTACTCTCTACATTTTCCATGGATACATTCAAATCATTTGCAAATAATAACCGTATTGCCTCTTCATCTACAATAGACTTGCTTGTTCGTTGGCTAGGAGCACCATTTAGAATGCAGAATGACAGTAAGCAGAGCACACACTGTGGCTTCATTCCTGTCCTTAATGAGGATGTTTCTAATATTGCCTTAAGAAATATAGTTTGCTGCAGGTTTCAGGTGGATGCCATTTTTTAACCAAAAAGGGAAATGTCCTTTCTTTTTATAATTTGCTAACAGTTTGTTTGGTTTTGAAAGAAATCCAGATTGGGTAGTATCTTTCATGAACTCTCATTGATAGGGTTATATGGTTTTACCAATAACTTCCTTAGTTATTACTACTTCCAAATTTCCTGAGGCTGAACCGTGATTACCTTTTTGGTAATCCTGTTAGCTTATAATATAATAAATGCTATTTAAAATACATTGTTGAATTAAAAATAAAAGGCTATGTGAGTAGCACAAGTGGTAAAGCACTTGCCAACCATGCACAAGGCCCTGGGTTTGATCCCCATCCCCAGCAAGTTAACTAAAAATATATTGTTGGGTTTGATTTGCTAACATCCAATTAGAATTTCTATATTCAGAATGAATGACCTATTTTTTTTATTTAGCACTCTATTCTTTGGTATCAGAATAATGACTGACTTATAGGACCAACTGAAAATATTTTCATATTTTCTGTGCTCTGGAACTATGTAAGTTGCTAGGTCACTTTTGAAAGCCATGCCTTTCATTAAACAATAATTTAAAATGTTTAAATCCACTATAATTAAATATTTTTCTTAATGGGTACACACAACATTAAACTTTAGTCACTACTTCCAAGCTCCAGTGTCAACTTCATAACAAACACAGTTTAGAAACACCTTAGGAAATCATTTTTGTTTATACTCTCAGGAGATGTTGGAATAAATAAATCTATACAAATAAAATGGTCTTGGGAAAGAAAAGTACTTTGTCCTTAAAAATAAGTGCATGTTATCTGTTAATAATGCTGAGAAACAATTTCAAGACTGTTTTCCAATATTTAGAACAAAGTGAGCAAGCGCAAATAAGTTTCCTGACAATTATTTCAGACTTGCCAGGAGAAATTCTACATTTTACCTAGCAGGCATAATCAAAAGCTGCTTAACTGAAGATTCTACCAAAAATGTAAGTTCAAACACAGACAATGTATCCTTTGAGAGACTGGAAACAAGCAAAAATGAAACATGAAGGGATGGAGTGATCACAGGTCTGTTTCCATGCAATTTGAAAAATGTAAGTTTTTCTTGTTAAGGTATTTGCACATCAATATCTTTCTTAGGGTCCTTTGAAAATAAAGATCTCAAAATACAAATGGGAAGCACAAAACAACTTGCAGTGACAGCACTGGCTGAGGTCTACTGGTGTTGTACTCTGTTCCACTCACAGACTGGAGTGGCAATGCCAGGTTGAGAGGACTCAATGCCTGCAACTAGAGCTGCAAAAAAATCTGGACATGGAGACAAGGCCAAGTTCTCTTGAAGACTTGGCCCACACTACATTGGCAAAGGGACAGCAAGTCCCAGGTGTCTGTGAACCTGCAGCACAAGGTCCTACTTCCCAAACAAGCAGTTTCCAAACTGTACTCACAGATACAAAGGTCTCAGGAATGTTAAAACCACAGTGGTGTCTCTTAATTTTGCTGGGCTAGACACCAGAGGAGGTGATGGTGCAGGGACAAATCCCACAACACAACAGTCCCTGCCACCGTGGCTGCTGGGGAAGATGTGCCCCGCAGCTGCAGCAGTCACGCACATTGGCTTCTGAGAATTACCAATCCTGATAAAGAACTCTATAGTTTGGAAAACTCAGGCACATTCTAATTTAAGATTTTTAAAGTCATGAGTATGCCAATTGTTAGACTATGTCTAACAACTATGTCTAATAACAGTTTGTGAGATGTTAAAAATAAACAGGGCTGGGTGTGGTGGGTGGTGCATGTCTGTAACCCTAGTACTAAAAAGTCTGAGACAGGAGAAATCTGAGGCCAGCCTGTGCTACACATCAAGACCTGGTTTCAAAACAAACAAAAACTCTAAAAGAAATAGTTAGCAAATAGAGTGTGCTTTACAGAGAGAAGGATAAAAAAAATCAAGAATCTCTAATATCCATGAGGCACCCAGGTACTAAGCAGACATGAGACTAAATACACAAGAAGCCATAAATACACAATGCTGAATATATATGACAATTTAATACTCATGAGCTCTTAATATGATCATCTGGTGACATCCACTCTGGCACCAACTGTCCTCTGCCCACAAAATACTAATAAAACCTCTGTCTGCCATCAGTTTAGCAGTCTGTGGCCAAAGGCACCCATCTCTGAGGCCTCTAATGCACCATATCCACTGGCACAGGGCACCATCTACCTAGGCCTCCTCTCTTGAGCCTCGGCTCCCCTCCTCCCACCATCAGAGAGGAAGGGACTCGGGTCACATGGTCATTCCACCTCGCCTGGACCATCTCCTGCCACTTTTCTCCTGGTCTTCATTGTGTACTCTGTACTGATTTTAAAAACTGTGGAATTCATTTACGTGCCGAATTCATTTACCTGCTCTGAGGTCTCCGGGAGAGCCTGCAGGTACTGTTTGCAGGCTCCCTGGGCAACACCAACAGAATCTATGTGAAAAGAAGAAAACACACAGGCCTACAGACACACATGCGCGCGTACCTGTGGGAAGACATTCTTGGAACTGATTGCCAGCTTCTACAGGTGGCATTGTGCCCCCTGTAAACTCACATGTCATCACCACCCCACCTCAGAAGCGACCTTATTTAGAAATAGGGCTGTGGTAAATGTGGCCAGGCAAGGTCCTCCTTAAGTAGGGTGGGACCTAAATCATTATGATCAGTGTTTGGATACAGAAGGGGCCTTTGACATTGAGGCAGGCAGACAGAGCATTATGTGAGAACCGAGGCCGAGGTCAGGGTGATTGATGCTTCAATATGCCAAGGAACAGCAAAGAGGGCTGGTGAACCATGGACCTGGGAGAGAGGCCAGGAGCAGAAGTAGCCTCAGTCCTCAGAGGATCACCCTGCTGCCTCCTTGGTTTTAGACTTCCAGTCCGGGGCTGTGTGGCAATACAAGTTTGTTGATTAAGCAGCACCATTTGTGGTACTTTGGTATGGCTGCCCTAGAAAATGAATACACCAACCATCAGGGACATCTTTTGTTTGGGGAGTCATCCTCCTTCCTCCAGCCTCCCACATGTGGGGATGGAAGTGTCCTTTGAAGTAAGGGTGATGGGGAAGACCTGACCCAAGCAAGGCAAATCATAGCAGACCCTCAGCCCCCCTCCAAATCCACCCTTGGGGTTTCTCTTACAGGTGATGTAAGTGGGCAGGTGCGGTGTCTGCCTGTGCACATGTACACCTGTACTTCAGTGTGTGTGCCTCATGGTCCTTCAGAGCCACTCCTTCTTAGGTTAGCAAATCATATAGCAATTTGTATAGACTAGATTACAGGTCCCAAAGATTTGATCGATTTGCATATGTACCAGCAGCTTCTAAGGGGCTGCTTTCTCTTTCCTTTTTAATACTGAATGTGTTTAATGTTAGACAATCATTTCTCCATGCTGTCTTAGTCTGCATTTCCTTGATTACTGTGGAGTCTGGGTTACTGGTCATTTGTCTACTAGTTAGGTGTTTTACCCATTTCTCTTTTTCTATGTTTATACTTATCCTTCTATTCTATCCTAATTTTATAAGAGTTCTTTCTATATTGAGGATGCCAACCCTTAATCATTTATTTCTCAATGTGCTTTTTATTTTAAAAAATCTTTATAATATTTTTATAATATAGAAGTTCACTTCATTCATGTCACTCAGTCTTTTGATCAATTCTATGTATCTTTTCCTGAATATGTTGTGGTTTTAGAGTTATGCTGAGAATGTCCTTAATGGGGAGATGGAGCTTTTAATACTACAAAGCATTACCATCCTTGAATTTTGCATAATTAGAGAGACTTTTCGACATGCCACAAATGGCTGCTCCTATTCTGAGGGAAATCTAAAAACATAATGACCATCACTGCACACCTGAGAGAGAAATAACAAGAGACATCCATTATGCACAATGATGCCACACACACACACCTCGCTGTCTCTGTGCCAGGCACAGACATTTGAAAAAGAAGAAAGACTTATAGAATGTGAAGAGGAACTAGACTTGGTCTCCTGGACCTTACATTCTTATTCTAATAGGGAAAATGAACAAATAAGGGAACAACTTCAAACAGGTGTGTCTGATAAGGATTGTCTCTGGACAGAAACGAGGTGGCTTGGTAATAAAAGGGGACAGGGAATACAGGTAGGAATGACTCAAGAGCATGTTCAGAATAAGCCTCTCCTAAAGGTGACTGTGAATAAAGACTTGAAGAAGATGAGGCAGTGATGGAAGAAGATAATCAGAGAAGAAAATGTAGCAGCGTGCTCTGTACGTTTGAGGAAGGAAGGCCAGTGAAGCTGGAGGGCAGTGGAGGGTGGGCACAGGGTGGACAATGTGGTAGCAGAGGTAACACATGGTCAGTGCATGTAGGGCCTTGGAGGCCACTATAAGAATTTGGGTTTTTACGATGAGACTCAAAAACTTTTCTTAAAATTTTAGTTGCAAGGTCACTTTGGGAGATGCGAAAAGAACAGATTCCAAGTCAAGAAGCACAAAAACAAGAGTCTACTAGGAGAAACTAGGAGACTTTGGTAGCCATACAAGGGACAAACAGTGTGGGCTGGGACTAAGAAGACATCGTGTGGGAAGGGCAAAAAGAGTTAATATGTTCAGAGCGTATTAAGAGCTTAATAAGCTTCCATATATAAGAAACTGACTCTCCAAAGTGAACGGCCTGAGGCATGAAAGAGACTCAGCATATACAAAAGGTAATATTGACCTTGAGATGTGTTTCATAGGAATGACAGAGGATTTCAGTACATTCCGAAGAGCTGGACCACATGTGTACTTTGTTACTGCTGACTATGCATGGAAAGGGCAGATTAGCAAATGACACAGAAACTTCTGCCCCAGGGCTGATCTGTGAGCCTCCTCTTGGTTTTCACAGTCTGATAAGTTTCTGATATAACGACTCCTTCAGGCCTAGTAAGAATGCTGTAAGAAGATACAGATCTCTGACTGTTGAGTATGGTGACCCTCCGCTGGCCAGTGGCTCCTGAACAGTAATTGTTCCTGGAAGTCAAGCTTTTCATCTGCTCCCTGATGCACTTGTGTGTTCTGCCATGCCCTCACACGACCATGAACTATTTAGATGGAATGTGGTAATGAAAGTAAACACTATGATGCACGGTCTCTTTGCCATTCTTAGCCGTGTGCCTGGGAAGATAGCAAACACTCTTGGTAGGTCAGTGAGGCAATCTGCAGATTCTGCTGAAGGTCACGAAGCCTTGGAAGTGGGGCCACTGAACTGAGAGCCTATTCAGTCTGACCGAGCCAACTCTGCCAAGCCTCCTGTTCAGGGCCTCTGCATTCCACAGCTATCCCCTCCCCTCAGGGCCCTACCTACTCTGGGCTCTGGTCCCCAGTCATCCCCACCCATAATGCCTCACATCCATTTGGCTCTTTCCTTTGATTGCCCGTGTGATTTACCTTTTCATGCATTTAGACTGGTGTCTTCATAATTAAACTGTAAGTTTCTTGTGGGGAAGCAGGCCTTTTACATGAGAGGCACTACATAGCTGCTCATGAATGAAGAATGCCTAGAGTACTTATGTTCTCAGCATCTCCATGGGGGTGAACAGCAATCCTCTTGGGAAACGAGATATGTAAATGAATCCATCACTAACGGAGAGGAAGTGCGGAAGGATGCTCTAGTTCTAAGATTCCCTTAGTCGCTCAACAGTTACACATGCGATCCTGACAGTATTCATGATGAAAAATGTGTTTTCCTGAGACTTACAACTCAGACACAATTCTGTCTAAACAGAAAGGGACACTTGCTAGTCCTGAGTGGGCACCATGCACTTAGGACTTTTACTTCCCTGGGGTTACATTATTGAAGGGTGGCATCAACCCTGAACCGCAAGTAATGCCCTTTTTCTACAGAGAAGGCTCAGTCAACTAGAAAGTCACCACCCCTTTTTTTGGCAGTGCGGGGGATTGAACCCAGGGCCTTGAGAATACTAAGTGCTCTACCTTTGCACTCCACCCCCAGTCCAAGACTCCATATTGAGATGAGTCAAATGCTCTTCCCACTACACCAAAAACAGGAAAGGAGTTTGTGTGAAAAATAGCAGGAAATTTAAAAGAAATATGTTTAAGTGTGAGATGTTATCAAAGGATTAAAATCAATGTTGAAGAGGATAATATGAAGAATTAGTTCAGGAAAAACAAAGTTAAAAGAAATAGCAGTAGTCTATGAACACAGCCACACTACTCAAAAGACAACAATTCAAGATGAAGAGAAAACATAGACTATAGAAGGAGATAATCAAATATGCACAGAGCATTGTATGAGAGGAATAAACAGAAGCTATAATCAGGAAAGTGCTGTAAAAAGTCTCCTAGCACTGAAGGACCCTTTCTGAAAGGATGTCAGCTGCTGTGCCAGGCTTTTTCAGTGGGAAACTAAAGATAAGTCATGAGGTGGGCACTAATGATTCATGCCTACGATCCCAGCTACTTGAGAGGCTGGTAACTGGAAGACTGTGGTTCGAGGCCAGCCCAGGCAAAAAGTTCATGAGATCCAATCTCAACCAAAAGCTGGGTACAGTGGTGCCTACCTCTCATTCCAACTACATGGGAAGCTAAGATTGGGAGGATCATAGTTCCAGGAAGCCCAGGCAAAATATAATCATGAGACCCCATCTCAATGGAAAAAGCTGGGAGTGGTGGTGTGTGTCTATCATCCCAGCTATGGCAGGAAGTGCAAAATAGGAGGACTGTGGTCCAAGCCAGCCTAGGTAAAAATGTGAGACCCTATCCAAAAAATAACTAAAGCAAAAAAGGTCTGGAAGCATGGATTAAGAGGTAGAGTACCTGCCTAAGAAGCATGAGCAAACCCCAGTACCACCACCAAAAAAAAAAAAAAGAAAAGTCATAAAACCTGGAAATTATCCCAGGTAATTCTGAAGTTAAAAGAACCATAAAACATTTTATAACAGCTTAACTGAGATAAAATTCACAAACCAGAAAATACATCCTTTTTAAGTATACAATTTCGAGGCTTTTAGGATATTCACAGAGTCCTAACAGTTGAAGGATGGGGGAAATAACTTTAAAATTATCTAACTTACCATTTCTCAAAGTATTTTCTACTGAACCCTTCTAGTCTCACAAGCTATGATATAAAAAGGAATTTTCATAGACCAATGTATTGATTAAACATGGCATACGTGTGTGTTCTACCGCTTCCTTGGAGAATCACATGCAAACTGAAGTCCTGAGAAAAGCTGGGATGGTCTCCCTTACCTGACCCGGAGCCTCTTTTTCATGGGACACGCAGTAGCAGCTCACTGAATCAGTGCTCTGGGACATATGCTTCAGAAAACTCTGGTTTATAGCAACCCAGAATATTCCAGGTAAAGAAAAGGAGCACCAGAGAAGGCTGACTGGCTTAATTTGGGTCTCACAGCTCTTTCCAATTTTCTCATGTGTAAGCAACTATCTGGAAGTATATTTTTACTGTTTACCACAAAACCAAAGCCAGAAATTAGATCTTCACACCTCTAGTTCAATGTTCTTTCTACATTGCACATCAAAAACTGAAGCTCTGAAGCCATGCCAACAACTTCCCAGCACTAACAAGTTCTCTGCAAGAAACCACAGAGAGGCTGGGCGTGATGGTACATATGTGTAATCCTAGCTACTCAGGAGGCGGAAGTAGGAGTCTAAGCAAAAGTATGAGACCTTATCTGAAAAATAAACTAAAAGGGCTGGGAACATGGCTCAAGTAGTAGAGTGCTCGCCTAATAAGAACAGGGCACTCAGTTTAATCCTCAGTACCACCAAAAAAGTAACCACAGAGAAATGAAAACTACCACACTAACAAAACAGAAATGCACAGACTTCAGAAACTGGTGTGCATGAACAGAAAGAGTCCAAAATCATAGATAGGAGCAAGAAATTCTGCTAAGCTACTGCTTGGGAAGGCAACCCCAGACAGCGGTAATGTACTGCATTATTTCAAAAAGCTAGAAGAAACAAGTTAGAATGTTCCACCATAAAGAAATAATAAATGTTTTTGGAGGGGGATATGTCTAACCTGATTTAAATACTGTACAATTTATACATCTATCCAAAGTATGCACAACTTTTATGTTTTTATGTATCTGTTAAAAATAAATTCAAATTTTACGAAGTCCAAAATCATAAGAGAAAAACTAACAGAGGAATTCAATATGATGCTATGGAAAAATATAAGATTTCATAGAAGAGCAAAAGACAGGGAGGAGAAAGTGAAGAATGCTACTTTGCAAAACTAGACCAGATGTCACCCCTCAATGGAAGCTCGCCATACTTATGAGCATTAGAAAAGTGAGAAGCAAAACAGGCACAGGATCAAATGGATGTGAGAAGCCACTGTTCACAAAAACTTTCTATCAGTAAAAAACTACGATCAAGGCTACCCCAAACCACTTAAGCAGATACAAGAACAGAAATACATACAACCCAGGAGCAAGGGGAACAGTCATGTCCATCAAGTGCACAGGACACATGACTGAAGAAGTTCAAATTCCCAGGGAGAAAGACGAACCAAACCAGAAAGGATCCATGCCTTCCCACGCCACCCTGTTCCTCCTGACCCTCCCACCCAATGCTCCAGCACCACTGAGCTCAGGTCTCAGAGTAAGCGGCTTTTTCTCTAATCTCCACTTACATGCAGGCTCATTTCCCATGGTCTTACCCTCTACACCTGCTAACTCCTACTGACTCCTCAAGAACCCGTTCAAATATCCCACTTCTGGTGGTCATGCCTAGCTGTGGAGGTTGAATCATGGGTGGGCTGCACAGCCCTTTACTCTCTGGTAGTCCTGTTTTGTTCTTGGTCATAGGCCCATGAACTCAGTCACATTCACCTTTATCACTGCAGCCCTAACAGCAGCCAAAACGGTGCCATCGTCTTTACAACAAACGGGAGCTGTCTCAGAGTAACACGCGCTGCACACACCTCCCAGATTGCCTCGTTCAATCCCAACAGTAAAACTGTGTCACCGGCAACCACCCCAAGGGCCCCATATCACTGAGAAGAGAAGTAAAGGTGAAAGAGATTAAGGTCACTTGGCCAGAGAGAAGTACTCATCATCCCAGTGGTCAGCCACAGCACTAAGTGCTGATGCGGGGGTGGGGTCGGGGCAGCACAGGCTCAAACAGGGTCAGAGAGGGCAGGCCTCATGACATGATTCATTAAGTGACACAAAATAAATGATAATCAAACAATCAAGACAGTGGATACTTAATAGCATTAAGTTAACATTTAAAAAAATGTTTAGGGCCCCTCCCAAAAAAACTCTCAAATCAAGCAGAAATTTCAGCCAGATTTCAAGGAATACAATCAAATCCCCATCCTAGAATACTAAATCCACATTACTCTAACAAAACAAAGATGTTATGATAAAGCAATGGACTATGACTCAGTTAAGATAAGGAAAACTTTAAAAAATAGAAATAGAAAATGATTTGATAAAGAAAAATCACATCTCTCTAAAACCCAATACGATAACTCAAAAACCTAATCAGATAATTAAGGAAATACAAATTAAGATAGCAAAGACATCACAATTTTACAAATTTGAAAACAGTATTTATATGTTCAAAAAGTAGTCAAGTGAAAAACTACAATATAAAAGTAAAATTAATATAATAAGCAAGTATGTATTGAAGAAGAAGAAATATGGGAAGTTATCAAAGAACTGATTTCAAAAGGGCATTAAACAGCAGTAAGTTACAGGAGAATTCTTCCAAATGTTTAATGATAATCCAATTACTCTAAGTGATTTATGTCTCCAAAGAGTAAGAAAAACAATTCTATTAACCAACTCCTTAAAAACAAATTGGGGTCTAATCCAGGAATATTTTTAAAAATATCTTTGAGACATAATTCAAATGCCACAAATTCGAGCACTTAAAGGGTTCGACACAGGTAAAGGTCTTTAGTATATCCACAATCCCCACCACTACCACAACCTAAGTTTAGAATATTTTCCTCACCTAAAAGGAAAAATGCCCCCATTAGCAGTCACTCTGTCCTTTTCTCTTGCCTTTCCTCTGGCCCAAGCAAGAAACTATCTATTCTCTACCTCTATAGATTTGCCTCTTCTGGAGATTTCATATAAATGGAATCATATGGTATGTGTGTGTCTGGCTTTTTTCACTTAACATAATGTATTCAAGGTTCACCCAGCTGTAATATGCTTTTGCTTTTTCAAGACTTTTCTTCTGGCTAATATGGCTCCCCTGAGGTTAAGATCCATTTGTAAGTTTTTCTTTTTTTGGGGTGCAGTTATGTAGGGATTGAACCCAGAGACTCATGCATACTAGGTAAGTGCTCTACCATTGAGCTACATCCCCAGCTCCTAGGCTGACATTTTGACAGGGACTGCATTGAGATTCTGATAGGGATCTCAATTTGCGGAGTGTTGCCATCTTAATAACTGAGTCTTCAGATATATAAACTTGGATGTCTTTTTGGTAATATTTTAGGAACTATCTTTAAACTGCTTTAATCCACACCACTACAGACATAAAAGTAAGTAGAAATAATATTATTGGGTAGAATAATGATGTCAAATACTATGTACAAAATAATGAGTGGTTATACTCTGGCCTGCTATTTCTTGAGTATAATCTTTCATTGGTTAACAAGAACTACAGAGCTGTTTGTGCTCTTTGATTCTAATAATGATATATCTGGAGTCACAGCCCAAGGAAACTCAAGGGAAAAAAAATGAAAACTTTGCTAAGCTACATATTGTAGTACTTGCTATCACAGTGAACTACTGGGAAACAATAGTCAATTATCCCAGCAATAATTTCTCAACAAGAGGAAAATATCAAATTACTAGCACAATGGGAATCTATACCATCTGCCTGAATGCTGTGTGCTGAATGTTTACAAAGATGAGGGGAATGAATGCATGTAAACATTCCATTTGTAAGCAAAGTACATAAATGTCTCTTTGCTTACATATGAGAGGTCACAAAATAATTTGAAGTAAAACCAGTTAGAATGTACTCATCACTGGGCTGCTATTTTTATGAAGTTGTTTAACATCTTCAACCATTATGTATGTGTTTTAACATGACAGGATCTGCCTGTCCCCTGTAGCACATGGAAGTACATGCTGTGACAACCCCTTATGGGCACTTCTACATGGACGCTGCTGAGCAGCAAATGGCTTGACAACACTGCCACAAGGGCACCTAGCCATGGATTGTGCATTGACCAATGGAGGGGAGGAAAAGCTCATCCGCTTAGGCTCCCATTGGAAGCTTAGGGGTGGAAATCAGTATTAGCCTCCCACTTGCTTTTCAATACCACAGCCTGGAAGATGGGCTAACAGAAGAACAAGTGTACTTATTTCTTAGCAGTTTAGATTTCTATTATCCTCTCACTTCAGCAAACACCCATTAAGCCACATGATATAGGTTTATCTCACTGGAAAGTTCTGACAAATATATCCTTCATCTCCCCAAACCAGATGAAATCAATCTCTCATTTTCTGTACTTCTAAGAATAAATGGCAACTCTATTTTTTGGTACCTAAAGTAATTAAGAGAACCATGCAGAATGTAGAAAGAAAAGACTACAATTAACAGAACTTCAGGGAATTATTTCTCTTCCTGCATTGCCTCTTTCCTGGTCCTATAAATAACAACATTACATCATGCTGACAAGGCGTGCTGTTCAAATGTAAGAGCAGGGTTGCCCTTCAACAAAGCCGAGAAATGCTGCCACTAGGCAGCTCTTATAATGGCAGCACACCCCAGTGACAGGAACAGGTGGCTAGGGCCTCTGTGCATGGCCCTTCTGCTCTGGCCCCTGCGCTCTGGGACCCCCACAGGCCTCCTCCTTTCTTTATCTTATAAACGAATTAACACAGAGATCAACATCCATTTTTCTATTCCTGCCACAATCATGAATGGGTGGGCTAAAGAGCAATACAAATCTCTCATTCATTTGGGGGAAACTGATGAAAAATGTAAATTTCTCTCTCTCTCCTTTTTTTTTTTTTTGCTGTGCTAGGAATTGAACCCAGAGCCTTAGAGCTTGCTTGGCAATCATTCTATCATTTGTGCTACACTTCAGTCCTTTTTTTGGTCTGTATTTTGCTTATGAGATAAGGTCTTCCCAACTGTGCCCAGCCTGTTCTCAAACTCACAATCCCGTTTTCCCTCCCAAGTAGCTGCAATTACAGGTATGCACCAACTTGCCCAACTACAAATATAACTTTATCTTACAAAAGTACAGTGTGAGAGCACTACAGTCAGCTTTTGAAAGGTCCTCTCCCAGGGTAGACGACAGAATAATGCAAGCCGCACAGACAGTGAAGAGCAGGAGAAGGGTGGCCCTGGGGCAGTGGATGAAGAAAGCCTTTCACACAGAGCTTTATAGGATCAGAAGGTAAGAGAGGACCACTACCCTCCTGGAAGGAACTGGGATACCAATTGACATGAGGTAAAGATGAGGCATCTAAGGTATCCCTGCAGACTCTGTTCATGGGGTGTGGTGAAGGAACCTCCCTCGCTGAGCCTTCCTCAGTGAGAAGGGCCAGGTGGGAGCACAGAACAGCAGTAGGCCAGGCAGAGAGCCATGTACCTTTTAAGAAAAACAAACAAATAAGGCAACTTCCAATAAAAGGACAATTGTAGAAGGAGAGCCACATCTATTTTATCATCTCAAATGGTGGAGGGCCCCAGTCTGAAACATGTATTGTGAGATTCTCAATCCAGACAGCCTGAAGTGGTCCCTGCATCCGGGGCTCACTTACAGCCTCGAGCTGAGAGAAGGCAAACAGACCAACACACTATTTCTAGGTACATCTGTGTGTGTGTGTGTGTGTGTGTGTGTGTGTTTGTATACATGTACACGTGACACCTGTATACACAGATATTATAACTTCTTCTGGATGGCCTCTATCCCCTATGGAGCAGCACTGTGGCATGTGAGAAGTACAGAGAAGGACCGCACCAGGAGCAGGTGTGGAAGATGGGCTCTCGGGTCTTCTCATGTAGGTCCTCCCACTCGCAAGCACAGAGCTTTGTGTAACTGCATGTATGTTTTTATCTCACTTTCATTCATTTAAATCAGTTATTTAGAGTCATATTTTTGAAATAAAAGTACGACTCTATAAAGAAATGAAGCTGTTTCTTTAGCCAGCACATTAGTGTGGTTTTGTTATTGGGTTTTTTTTGTTTGTTTATTTTTTGGTGTAACGGGGGTTTGAACTCAGAGCTACACACTTGCAAAGCAGGAACTCTACACCTTGGGCCACACCTGCAGCCCTAGCCAGCACATTGGGATTTAAACATTATCAGCTCTCTGGGGTCCATGCGTTCCATACCTATGGATTTCTCATTCGCAGTTTCAATCAAAAGTGGATCAAATTATTTCTTTAAATTGTGCCTGTACAGACTTTTTTCTTGTCATTATTCCTTAAATAATACAGCACAATTAGTTACATAGAATTACATTTATTAGGTATCACAGGTAATCTAGCCATGATTTAAAATGTATGAGAGGACATGCGTAGGTAGGTTATATACAAATCCTACGTCGTCATTGTATATAAGGCCCTGAAAATCCCAGATTATCTTATTCAGGGCCCTCCTTAGTAGACCATCTTCTG